ACTAAAATGACGAGACTTTTAGTCGACTAAAACTTGACCAAGATACCTTGAGTTTTCTTTTGACTAAAACTAGACTAAAATGACGAGACTTTTAGTCGACTAAAACTTGACCAAGATACCTTGAGTTTTCTTTTGACTAAAACTAGACTAAAATGACGAGACTTTTAGTCGACTAAAACTTGACTAACAAAAAAAGATATGTGAATGACTAAATATGACTAAAACTAACAAGGACATTTGGCACAAGACTAAGACTAAGACTAAATTAAAAATAGGTGACGAAATTAACACTAGCTGTCGCCCTGCCGGCTCGCTTCAGCCTGACACATTTCTTCCCATTTTCGTCTCGTGGAGGTTGTTTAAATTGCAGTCAGGAACGGGAAACGTGAAATTAGTTTCATGTTCCTGTTTTCAGCTTTTCAGAAGTTTGAATCCAATAACAATAAACAGCGACTCCAGCCGCCAAGTTGCCAAAAGACGGGATGTTTTCAAAGTGGCGTAATTGACCCTCCCGAAGTGTTAGCGTAGCGTAAGGAGGCCTTCGCTAAAGACATCTGCTTCCACTAGGGTCCACCAAGATCTCTCCGAAACATTCTCTTACATGATTCCAGTTTTCGTGCTTTTGATCCCTTGTTCACAGAACTGGAGGAAAATTAAATGCATTACAGAGATGTTTCTGCAGAAGCCTCATGCTCTCTGTCCAAAGCATGCCAGAGATGGGAAGCGGCTGTGATAAACTACTGGCCACTAGGTGGGGGCGTTCGGCATCACAGTGCTGATGGACTTGCTGTTGGACGGCCAAGCCGTGCCGGTTTCCCGGTTTAATTTGTTGAACCCCCTCCAGGTTTTGGACTGATCTGCGATCTTGCTCGTAGCTGGGTAACAGATCCTACCAAATCACTTGCTTATACTCGCTTTTTAAACTTAAACCATCCCTTTGGTTGCTCCTCACAATCATGTTAGATGTGATTAACTCTGGAAAAGAAAATGTAAAAAATAAAGTAGCTTCCCCCTCTGCTGTGAGTTATTGAGGTTCTGGCCCAGGGTGGTAGAGTCATATTGGGTTTTACCCGGCTGCGTCCTGCGGCCATAATGCTGAGCGGTTCCGCGAGGTGCCGCTCGGCACAGCGCGTGCTCCGTAAGAAAGCCCTCCCCCTTCTCCTTTCCGCTCTGGCTGGGGGGTAAATTATACTACCTGGCGCTGTTTATATAACTTTTTTTTTTTTTTTTTTATTGGACCAGCAAATTAAGATTTTTTTAATGGCAAGCACTGCTTAGCTGGAACACCGGAGGGTTAAAGCGCTATCTGAAATTCCCCATGTAGTTCAGGTGGGGTGGAAATAGTCTGTCTGCTTAATGGTTTGGGGCTGGACAGGGGGCAGTAAGCCTTTTTCCCAGCAGCCTCTCTGCTGGTCAGATGAGACCCGACTGTCGTTTGCTGAAGGAGACAGGCACACAAGGTGGGCCCTTCAGTCGCTTCCAGGCTCTCCTCACTCATCCAAGTGCCGAGAAGAAGGGGTGCGATTAATTAGAAACACTGCTGGCTTTATAATCCTAGCTTAATGTGTACAGTACTTTTAAGACAGCTGTTGATCTTTACTATGGGAAATTCTATGCGTTTTAGATTTAAAACATGTGTCACGCTACAGTGCAGAAATATTATGGGAAAAAACCTTTGAACTTTGAGTATTTGTCTGCGAAATTATTAGACTTATTCTTGTAATAAGGCATGTGTTGCAGGCCATGAATTTCATTGTCAACGCAGTACAATGCTGACATCTAGTGGTCACAGTGGGTCATTGCTCTTTTTTCAGTCTCCAATTTAGTCGTTACTTTGAATGCTGTTAGACATCAGTTTTGCTGACACCAAGTCTGTTTACAGTTTGCTTCGCAAAGTTTGGTTGTCTTTCATATAGTGTAGATAATATAAAGACTGTGATAATAGGTAAGAATATTAATAGAGTAATGGAGCACACACTTAGATCTCACCTTGCAGAAGCGCATCTACCTGTGAGACCCATGCAGAGCACAGCATGGCTGATAACCCCAGTTACCATGGTGCAGATCAGTTTTTGAGTTATAATTTTCTCAGACAGGTTCATGATACTGAAATGGATTTTGTCAAAGGATATTTCTCCTGGCTGTATAAATTTCCTCGAGAAGTAAGCACACCTTATACATAAGCACACCTTATACATAAGCACACCTTATACATAAGCACACCTTATACATAAGCACACCTTATACA